CCTCTGAGTCTGTGCCAATGTGGTGATGCACACAAGACTCTAGTTGCTGTCCTGAAAGGCTGCTGGCCCAGGACTCAGGGTCCCAGCATGCTCCTCGTCTGGTTAAGCAAGTGAGACTTTCTTTCACTAGGGGGCATTTTACATGTCTGCAGCGGCTCTGAGCAGCGTGGGCAACTTTTGCTTTTTTGCATTGGCTCCTCCGCCTGGCTGGCCTCTGCTTGACCTCAGTCAGGTTTTGGGACTTGGGCTGGCAGCTGTGACCCAACAAGCCCTAATCTGGTGTGAATAAGGGGGATCCTCCAGATGTAGGGTTCACCAGCCTTCTCAACCACATGAGCCATTTTCTTAATGGTTCGTGATTCTGTGAGACAGTGCAGCGAACTGTGGCACCCTGGGATGTAAGGGAATCTACAAAGGGGAAGAGTGATGGTTGATATCAGGGATACTGTAGTAGGTCCTATTTTGGAAAAATTGGACATTTGGGACACCTTTAATTTCCACTCCATTGGGACTAGAACTTCCGTCCTTTTAGTTGCAGTTGACTAACTCAGCTGTTTCACCACCAAGGGTCTCATGCTACTACTCGTCAGAGGGCAGGGGCAGTAGAATGGCCAGAGGACAATATTCTGATGAAAATGATATCAAGAACCCATATGCCTTAGAGCCATATGATGGAAATACACAATAAAATGGTGTTTGGATACCACAGATTAGACATTTTTGGAGAAAAGAAAGTATTTACAGATCAATAGCATTCTTTTTCTCAGAGAACTATGAACATGTGGCTAGCCATTGGGGGAGAAGCCTTATGTAATGAGGTGTGCGTGTTCTCTCAAATCTATTGAATCAAGGACGTGCCTGAGTGTCTCCCTGTCTCCTGTGCGGGAGCGATGGGGAACTATTTCTTCCTGGCTCATGCTGACAGCCTATCCATCTTCTTTTCCGTCCCCAACCCACCAACCCCCAAGTATGCGGCGTGTCCCCTCTGTGACACAGAGCGAACGAAGGGAGAGGCACCTTTTGTTCCTCCACTGCCTTTGAATGTCCTCAGAACCAGATGTGGCACGACGCCAGGGGCACTCGTCCAGGATGAGCACTAACCTCATATGCCTGTTAAGTTTCTGGGAGAAAGTCGAATGCAGATTTGACTGAGAGGATTACCTTTCTGACTCTCCTTCCAACTGTGATTGGTAGGTAGTTACTGGTGTCATAGTGAGATCACTCATCGTGTTTGATAAAGTGGAGGAGCAGCAACAGCGCTCAGGCCCGCAACAAGATGGATCGACTGTGTCTGCAA